CTACCAGCCCCCCCCCCCCACCAGGCTTGGCACTGGGACTGGCAGAACGTCGGTCGGGGTCGACGATTGGTGCGGGTGGCCGGACGCCTCCTCCCCCCCGGCATGGTCCGGGAGATGTGGAGGGTCCGGATGGATGGAGCATGGATGGATGGATGCATGCATGGAGGGATCGGCCGGGGCAATGGGCGCCAACTCTAATAAATTGATGTAATGGATGTAATGTATAGATGTATTAATGTATTAACGTATGGTCGTATTCATGTATTCAGGTATTAGTGTATTGATGTAGTAATGTATTAGTCCATCGATGTATTAACGTATTGCCGTAACGGTGTATTAATGAATTAATGTATTTCCGTATCGTTGTTCTGACGGGTCTCGCGCGCGTTTGTCTCGTACACCTTCGTGCACTGTCGCACAAAACCATGTGCGCGTTTCCCCGCCCCGTTCCACTACGACACCGTTGCACCATCACTGCGTCCCGCACGTGATGGCGCAACCGTTAGTCGCCACAAATTTGCGGCTCCTAACGTTTTGGAACCCCGGGGCAAGTGTAGGAAAGAGCCAGTTCTCACCAGTCTACATTAGTTGGCATTCTCTAATAGTTCGCGGCACGAACGCAATCACAATACACCATTAACATCCCATATAACGGTGATTCCGCCGCGATGTCCACCTGGCCCGTCTCTAGGGACCAGAGACTTGTTGACGCGAAATGCGCAGGTAAGACACGCTTTGGCTCTCATCCTCTAGGCAGCACGGTCCAGTTTCCACCAAGCTCCTCCACCCTCTCCCAGCCACACTCGTCCGTTTCTCCGTCTGCCTTGATATCCTCACACGAGTCCGCCTAACTATCTTCTCGTATTCTCCCGTACCCTCACGTATCCCCGCACGTATCTGCTGCCTGCCGTTTTCTCCCCGGCCGAGCGTCTCCGAGATCAGCCGCGGTAAGCACGATCTAAGGTACGTGATTATTGTTATTAGTCGGTCATATTTCTGTGTGCGTGTGTAGCCATATGTCTAGTCTTCTATGTAGTTTGTAGTAGAGAGTGTATTCCGTCGTCGTGTGTCTATCGAACAAGCAGAGAGTAGCATCACATTTCTGAGTTCGTGTTTTCTATCTGTGCTATCTATATCGTGGACTCTATCGGCGCAACCTGATACGACCCTTAAGAAACGGGTGCCACTAGCGCACCTACTAAACCGTAGAACCTGGGGAGCGGGAAGCTGAGTGGCTTCCTTAGATCTATCTATCTATCTATCTATCTATCTATCTATCTATCTATCTATCTATCTATCTATCTATCTATCTATCTATCTATCTATCTATCTATCTAT